ATATCCGCAATGAAATCCACACAATGGAGGATAACGCGGAGAAAACTCTCACATATGGACCAGATCAGTCCGACCTACCAGACTATTTCAAAGCAGTCAAGAAAGTCCACATTGTTCGTAGATCTGGGCATCACGGTGTCGTTAACACCAAAGTGAAGCAGACCATGGAGTACACCGTTGTCTTGAACATGGACGATATCGCAAATACAACAATGACCTTCGAGTTCAACTGCGATGCACCATGGTGTCACCGTTTCCCAGACCAATGTGGACACAGAGCTTTCACAAAATACCTTTTCCAGTGCATTGGTACTTTCCGATACAGAACCCTGGCATACGGCAGACGTTCATGGTGCGCCATGGCATACTTGAACCTCTACCAGCAGGCTGGCGACAAATTTGCACTCATCGACATTGAGAACGCCGAGGTTGTGCAGAATCATCCTGGCCTTGCTGCACTCCGCATGGGCACAGAGACCTATGTGGAGGATGAGTTCGTGAATGAGGCGCCCCACGACGGAAAGATTTCCACATTGGCTACGAAGCAAGGGGAAACCCTAGCATCGCAAGACAATGTGGAGGCTACCAAAACCGTTATTGATTCTGTCGTTGGTTCACAGTTATCACAACGCACACTCGCCACTCAAGTTCTCCAAGATGCGTACCAGGCTGTCGCTGCTTCCGCCTCCGCCGAGTCTCAGGGTGCAGCGGGAAACCGCAGCGACCTTGACAAGATCTTGGACGAAGACGACGAGAAGATCTTTGCCCCACTTGAACCTGATCACCTCGATCGGGCCCGCCAAATCGTCTCTGCGCCAGGTGGGAGCGTATCTCAGGAGAATTTCGCGACCCTGCTCGCAGGGGTCGTTCAGTTCGACGAGAGCACAGGACTGGCACCTCCAGAGCTACAGACTCGCATCCCGTCTTGCGCAATTTGCAACGCTCGGATGCCAGCTGATTTGGACACGCCTGGGGCCACTCTGAAATGTGCCTTTTGCATGAGGTACGAGAACTCCAAATGGCCGGACGAAGTTGCGGCCTGGCGAGAACAGTTCGTTGCGTTTGCCGCCACTCAGCCGGATGACGTCGCCCAGCGCATCACAGCTGCCCCCATTGATACGCGTGGCTCGAAGAAGCCACAGACAGACGCTAAAGACGAGCTTCAAAACATGGGGAATAAAGCTGACAAACGGCATCAGAAGTGGCTAGCTTGGAATTCTCCATCTCGGGAGGAGTGCGACAAGCTACGTGCAGACGCCGACGCGGACGGCATCCCGCCTGAGAATCCAAATTATCCTCCCATGTATCATCCATACATGTCTCTAGCACAGCGCTTTGCGGAGGATGATGAGTTTCGTGCGCAGATGACAACAGTTCGGACTCAGGCTGGTAGGGTTGCATGGACGTTAGAAGTTGCCACTGAGGCCGATCGCCTCTGGCAGGCCTCCAAAAAGAGGAAAGAGGTCGGAGCGCCGAACCTTGGAGCCGAAACAATTCGTGAACGTTTTCAGCGCAACCACCTTACCGTTCACGTCCCGGGCGAATCTCTCCGCGGTGCCATCACCGCCGCAGAAATTCGTGCACACCCACAGTCTTTGACTGGGTCCCGGGACGAGATCCGATCCGGTGTTAAGCGAGAGCGCGAAGAATACTACTCTCAGCTTCAGGAGACCGCCAGTGCAGCGGGAAACCGCAGCGGCAACGCTCCAGGAAGCAGTAGTGGGGGTGACTTTAGGGGGAGCGGGACCGATCCAACCCCCCAGCCACCACCACACACATCCGAGTATCGTACTTCTTCCGGCGCGTTCGACAGCCATGGCCATACCGCCTCCGCTGCCAGATATGCGCCTGCGCGTCCCGATGATGGACCACCTCTGGCAAAGCGCCCCGCCATTTCGAATGTGACCCACGGGTACAGTGCTGAATACGGTGCCCACTATTATGACAGGCAAATTGCACCGTATGACCGCCAGTGGTACGACCATTGGGGCGAGTTCATCTGGATCAAAGCGTGGGATCCGTTCGCCAATAATGGATGGGGCGCGACTGCATGGAATAAGAAGTACACATCGGGGAAATATACGGGCAGATCATGGCGCTGGGACCCTCCACGCTGACGCACCAGGAGACTGGTTGCCATGCCGCCCATAAGATTTTGAATGGCTTCCAACTTTGTCGTATTGTTGATGTGCCTATTGATGCATTATATCATTTTCTTCGATGACATGTAGTATTCGAGGACGCTCGCACTTACCTTTTGATCAGTATATCACTTCAAGGATTCTTCCTCTTCATGGACTCAACAACTGTGAGAAAGTTTATGGTGACAGCTATCCTCATGATGGGATAATACTACTCATATAGATTCAAAAAAAAAAATCGCATAATGCACAATTGCATAAATATCCTTTAGATTTGAACTGTGGCAAGACGTACATATTGCATCTGGTACAGATTGGATATGGAACTTGCATAAAAAGATTTTCACCACCCTCGTACCGTGACTGATTTGATTACTTTGATT